ATTCTCAATGTCATATTAGAAATTTATGAAAATGTTACGGGAGCTTACATCACTAGATATAAACAATTCACCAAAGTTTCATGAGAATTGCTAACAGCACTTTTGAGTTATTGTCTGAAAACTGGAAAATCCCCCCTTTTTTACTGAATAAAACCCCATAACTCAGAAATGTAAAATGTAAAATTGATAAAATTCTAAACGGAGCTTACATCAATAGATATAAACAATTCACCAAAGTTTCATAAGAACTGCTGAAAGCATTTTTGATTTTTTGTATGAAAACTGGAAAATCCCCCTTTTTTTATGAATAAAACCCTGTAACTCGGAAATGTAAAATCTAAAATATATAAAAATCGAAAGGGAGCTCATGTCAATAGATATAAACAATTCACCACAATTTCTTGCAAGTTGGTGAAAGCATTCTTGAGTTATTGTCCGACATGTTGACGACGGACAGACAGACGGACGGTCGGACAGACGGACAACGGTATACCATGATACGACCCGTAAACGGGCATATAAGAACTGCAAAATTTCCTTAAAATTATCAATTCAGGGGCAATAACATTAAAATCAGATACCCGATTTAGCTGATAATTTCAGGGCAGGTAGACCTTGACCTAATGAAGACTTCTTGTCTGATTTGCTCTAAATGCTTTAGTTTTTGGGATATAAGTCAAAAACTGCATTTTACCCTATGTTCTATTTTTAGCCATGGCGGCCATGTTTTCTGCGGAAACAGAAAATTAAACACAAACTTTATTTTAGATAACCTAAGAATCATTCAGCTTAAGTTTGGTTTAATTTGGTTCTATAGTTTCAGAGGAGAAGATTTTTTAAAGTTAGAAAACATGATAAACAAATTGTGTAAAATTGTCTTTAAAGGGCAATAACTCCTTAAGGGGTCAATTGACAATTTTGGTCATATAAAACTTATTTGTAGATCTTACTTTGCTGAATATTTTGGCTGTTTACAGTTTATCTTTATCTATAATAATATTCACTCCAAGTGATGGCAAAAGCTCACATTTCCTTTTAGGAAAGGTGAGCTAAAAAAGGGGGATTTTCCAGTTTTCGGACAATAACTCAAAAATGCTTTGAGCAGTTTTCATGAAACTTTGATGAATAATTTATATCTATTGACGTGAACTCCCTTTTGATTTATATAAATTTTAGATTTTACGTTTCAAAGTTATAGGGTTTTATTCATTAATAAAATGCTCCGCAGGGCGCAGCTTGATACGACCGCAGAGGTCGAACCCTGAACAGTTGGGGCAAGTATGGACACAACATTCAAGCTTGATACAGCTTTGCATTTGGATTGTGATTAAATATTTGACACAGCATAGGTTTCAGACACAGAATGAATGTGGTCTAAGAACTTAAAAATTTTAAATTGGACATTCACCTATTATGGTCCAATATCCAAAATCTAAATACATGGTTAGATTCAGCATATGAAAGAACCCCAAGAATTCAATTTTTGATGAAATCAAACAAAGTTTAATTTTGGACCCTTTTGACCTCAATGTGGACAAAGTTGATAACGGGGCCCAAAAACCAAAAATCTAAATACATGGTTAGATTCAGCATATCAAAGAACCCCATATATTCAATTTTTGTTGAAATCAAACAAAGTTTAATTTTGGACCCCGATTTGGACCAACTTGAAAACTGGGCCCATAATCTAAAATCTAAATACATGTTTAGATTCAGCATATCAAAGAACCCTAAGAATTAAATTTTTGTTAAAATCAAACGAAGTTTAATTTTGGACCCTTTGGACCTTAATGTAGACCAATTTGAAAACAGAACCAAAAATTAAGAATCTAAATACACGGTTAGATTCGGCATATCAAAGAACCCCAATAATTCAATTTTTGATGAAATCAAACAAAGTTTAATTTTGGACCCTTTGGACCTCAATGTGGACCAATTTAAAAACGGGGCCCAAAATCCAAAAACTAAATACACGGTTAGATTCAGCATATTAAAGAACCCCAAGAATTCAAGAATAAAACCCCATTGAAATTGGTCAAGAAATACGCAATTTATACGAAGTATCTTCTTTTGCACAATACTGTGCAATTAAATATATCTTGCTATTGCGCAATACTGTACAATTGACAATTTCTTGCTATTGCGCAATATTGTGCTATTGGATATTTCTTGCTATTGCGCAATACTGTGCAATTGAAGATTTCTTGCTATTGCGCAATACTGTGCAATTGAAGATTTCTTGCTATTGTGCAATACTGTGCAATTGAAAATTTCTTGCTATTGCACAATACTTATTATATAATAATTTACACATCCTGTTTGGTGTGTATCTCCTACCATATCATTATTATTTGCTTTTAAATATAAATCAGAAATAACCAACTTAAAATGGAAAATTTTAAAAGAAAAAAAAAAGAAAAAAAAGAAAAAAAAGCAAACCCCCCCCCCCCCCAATTTTTTGAACCCCCTTATGATTCATCACCCCCAAACTCAATCCCAGCCTTCCCTTTGTGGTATGGTACCTTGCAGTACAATTTCAGAGAGATCCATACACTTGAACACAAGTTATTGTCTGGAAACTAGAAAAATGCTTATTTTTGGCCCCTTTTTGGCCCCTTTTTGGCCCCAAATTCCTAAACGTTTAGGGCAATTACCCCTAAACTCAAACCCAGCTTTCCCTTTGTGATATGGAACCTTGTAGTACAATTTCAGAAAGATCCATACACTTACACACAAGTTATTGTCCTGAAACTAGAAAAATGCTTGTTTTTTGCCCCTTTTTGGCCCCTAATTCCTAAAATATTGAGGCAATTACCCCCATCATCAATTCCAGCCTTCCCTTTGTGGTATGGTACCTTGCAGTACAATTTCAGAGAGATCCATACACTTGAACACAAGTTATTGTCTGGAAACTAGAAAAATGCTTATTTTTGGCCCCTTTTTGGCTCCCAATTCCTAAACGTTTCGGCAATTACCCCCAAACTCAATTCCAGCTTTCCCTTTGTGATATTGAACCTTGTAGTACAATTTCAGAAAGATCCATACACTAACACACAAGTTATTGTCCTGAAACTAGAAAAATGCTTGTTTTTTGCCCCTTTTTTGGCCCCTAATTCCTAAAATTTTGAGGCAATTACCCCCAAAATCAATCCCAGCATTCCTTTTGTGATATGGAACCTTGTGGTACAATGTCAGAGAGATCCATACACTAGCACACAAGTTATGTCTGGAAGTTACAAAAATGCTTATTTTTGGCCCCTAATTCCTTTACTATTGGTACCATAACCCCCAAAATCAATCCCAACCTTCCTTTTGTGGTATTGAACCTTGTGGTAAAATTTCATAGAGATCCATTCACTTAAACTAAAGTTAGAGTGCGAAAACCAATGTGTCTTCGGACGACGACGACGACGACGACGACGACGACGCCAACGTCATACCAATATACGACCACAAAAATTTTTTTGCGGTCGTATAAAAAAGGGGGATTTTCCATTTTTTAGCTAACCGGGGCCTGAAGGGCCCCATGTGAGCTTATGCCATCACTTGGCGTCCGTCGTCGTCCGTCGTCTGTCGTCGTCGTCTGTTGTCGTCGTCTGTTGTCGTAAACTATTTCAAAAATCTTCTCCTCTGAAACTACTGGGCCAAATACCTTCAAACTTTAACTAAATGTTCCTTAGGGTATCTAGTTTATAAATTGTATCCGAAGTTTTGATCCATCGACAAACATGGCCGCCATGGCTAAAAATAGAACATGGGGGTCAAATGCAGTTTTTGGCTTATATCTCAAAAACTAAAGCTTTTAGAGCAAATCTGACATGGGATAAATTGTTCAATTGGTCGAGATCTATCAGCTCTGAAATTTTCAGACGAATCGAACAACCCATTGTTTGGTTGCTGCCACCGAATTGGTAGTTTTAACAAAATTTTGCAGTTTTTTGTTATTATTCTGAATATTATTATAGATATATATAAACTGTAAGCAGCAATAATGTTCAGCAAAGTAAGATCTACAAAAAAGTTAATATGACCATAATTGTCAATTGACCCCTTAAGGAGTTATTGCCCTTTAAAGACAATTTTACACAATTTGTTCATCAAGTTTGCTAACATTTAAAAATCTTCTCCTCTGAAATACGGGTCAGCGATTCAGGCTCTTGAGAGCCTCTTGTTTAGGACAATAACTCAAAAGTGCTTTAAGCAGTTTTCATGAACCTTTGGTGACTGGTTTATATCTATTAAAATAAGCTCCCTTTAGTTTTTTTTATGAATTTCTGATATGAAATTGATGAGTTATGGAACATTAATCTTTGAAAAAGCAACGGCGTATCATGCGCTCACGGCGCAGCTCTTTATTTTGGCATGGTAGGCCCTAAATATCATTTGTTTTTACCTTTCCCTTGTTATTTGGTGTTTATTTATTTTTGTAGTAAACATTCATAGATAAATTAACCAATTTTCACTGTATTAATGTGTGCTTGCTCTCATCAAGAACACATTAAATAAGTGAAAAGAAGTAAAAATGTTAAAGAATATTTACTGAATATTTTAATGGAATCATTTGTATTTTTTTAACATGATGCCTTTTAAAAATCATAAAATGAAGATTCATCATAACAAATGGACAGATATGATTGTTTACATCTCAAAAGTTGCTCTGAATTCAGACAAACCTGTGGAAATGTTCTAAAGTCTAGAAGCACATTGATACATAAAAGTTAAATGCTTTCATATAGTGTTTCAGAAAATCAAAATCCAGGAAAGGGTCTTTCAGAAACACAAAATGCATTTCAAATTTATATATCAATCTGCTGCTAGGCTTTAAAACCTTTCCTGGTGCAAAGGTTTGTCTATATTCAGAGTAATTTTCAAGTTGTAAACAGAAGTTAATGTCCTTTTGTTATGATGAAACTTAAGATCTGGAGTAGAAATATGTGGTGTACGAGTGAGTGTTCCACAATTGCAAAAATCTTAAATTTGATATTATTTATGTTTTGTAGTGACAAGTTACTTTTGCATCATGGCAAGTAATATACCCCAATGTGAGCCATGTGCTGAAGATGGGTCCTATCTTGAAGCAACACGATGGTGCTGCGAGTGTCAACAGTGGCTTTGTGACCATTGCGGAAAATATCACAAACGTCTAGCTGCTACCAAAGCACATACTTTGCTATCAAAGTTAGAATATGAAAAACTTCCAAATATGGCATCAGCTATAAGCAGAAAATGCCATAAACATTCAGATAAGGATCTTGAATTCTATTGTAGTAATCACATTTCTGCTATCTGCTTTTCTTGCATGAAAGAAGAACATGCATTATGCAAAAGCGTAAACAAACTAAAGGATGTTGCATCAGGAATAAAATCGTCTGCAGCATTCACTGACATAATGGCTACATTAGAAGATTTTGTTGATGTCTTTGAAAAGCTACAAGAAGATCGAAAGAAAAATAAGGACAACCTAAAAGCAGCAAAACATGTTATTGATACAAAAGTCCAGAACCTTCTTGATGAAAACCAAAAATATCTAAAACAGCTAGCAGCTGACTTGCAATCAGAAGTACACAAGAAATATACTGAAGAAGCATCATCTTTAGATTTAGAAATAGACACTTATAAAACCAAAAGGTCTGTTTTAGAGAAGAAATTATCTGATGTAAAAACAATGGTGGAATATGCATCAGATGAACAAATGGTTTTGTCTCTTGAAGACATAAACAGAGATGTTTCAAAACATGAAGAATACCTGCAAAGTCTAAATGGACATGTATTCACAAAAACACTTGCAGTTGATCTAAATTTGAACGCCTTGCATTTAAATGATTTAGTGCCTTCCTTTGGTCAGGTATCCGTTCAATCTGTAAAATGTCCAGTGAGGCTTACTGGTAAAAACAAAGCAATGGTGGCAACAAATTTATTGCAAACAGCAAAGTCAACAGATGATGTACGAAGAAAAGCTGAAGCAAGACCAATTGATAACACCTTTATTCTAGTACGTCAATTTGCCATTCCCCTATCGAGACAGAAACAGAATGTTATAAGAGATATCAAATGCCTTCCTAATGGATACCTTGCAATGACTGATAGTGAAAATAATCGAGTTCTTATAATTGATCAAAATGGATCGACAATGTTACAAGAATCTCTTCAAGGTAGCCCAAGATGTCTTACCTTCACAAAAGATGGGAGAATTGCAGTTACGCTATTTGATCAGCAGAAAGTGCTCATCTGGAACCCATATCAACCATCAAAAAAGGAAAACATTGATGTCAATGATGAGTGTACTGGGATTGCTTGTGTCAATGATATTTTGATCATTAATTGTCAAAGAAGAGGTCTTCTGTTTTATAATGTAATAGACACAAATAGCAAAAGACTTATAGAGTACACAGGAAAATTGGACATACATGAACTTGGTGTAGATAATCTTTATATTTACAAGTCAAAAACTAACGACTTCATAACTCTGGACATAAATTCAGGACTTGAGAATAAAAGATTTAAAGTGTACTCTAAAATGCCATCCTGTCTAGCAAAAGATGATGTTGACAACTTCTACATTATCGATTCTTCAAATGCTATAAGAAAAATTGATACCAGAACATGTAAAAGTGAAATTGTTCTTGATATGACGTGTGGGATTAACAAACCACAAGCAGTAGCAACTTTTGTCGAAAAGTCAAGAGGCTTCATGTCATTTCAAAGTGTCACTAAATTTTACCTCTTTGTTGTTAACAATGAGGGTAGTTCTATTTTAATGTTTCAAAAAAAGTAATTACTTTTGTCAGTGACATTTTGAATTTATGTTTGCTATCGTAGTCACATAGCAAAAAAAACAAGCATTCTGAGAGTATTGTATGGCAATACATAGTCCCCTACCAGGTAAACATTCATTTTACTGGAACAAAATGCTAACTTGTTCTATAACTTGTCATGGTGTAAACAAAAAGTAAATATCATGTCACTATCTTCAAGCATGACTTAAAACAGTGTGGAAAACTGATTATAGAGTGAAAAAAACATTAGATATGATTAATAGTTCTCTAAAATTAGATATGATGTAGTACAATGTATATCTATTTTCAAATTATAATCAAATATAATTAATATTTTTTCTTTCATTTGTCACAAAGTAATATAGATTTGTAACTTATCTATAAAATGTCAACAACTTTTATCTACACAATGTAATGTATTGAAATATATACATTAATAAAAATAGATTATTATATAATTAAAGGATTTCTCTTCATAATTTTTTTTTATATATATAGCATTCAGAAAATTAGATTATACTAAATAACAAACAAACCTGCCAAAAAATTCTTCAACTAATATAACAAAGAATGTCTTTTAAAAAATGAGTTATCACCCATTTGTACAGCAATATGGTTTAACATAGTACCCTTACATTAGATATGGTCCAGATTTATGGTCCATAACTCTGGACTAAATCATCAGACCGGAACAAGATTCAAACTTGATCTATATCTTCTCATGATAAACTATATATACCAAATATCAAATAAATATCTTCAAGAACAAAGAAAAAAAGTGCGGAAAGCTGATTTGCCGGACTGACGGATGGACAGACGGACAGACAGACGGACAGAGTGCAAACCTGAAGTCCCCTTCGACTTCGTCGGTAGGGGACTAAAAACAATAACTTTATGTTCTAAATTGTGAAAAATTTACTTGTGAAAATAGGTTGGTTAATTGTGTTAATAATTATAAATATCTTGGTTTGCTTTTTAGTGCATCAGGGTCATTTTCATTTGCTCAGACTGAACTGTATAAAAAGTCTTTGAAGGCTTATTATAAATTGTATAGGAATTTGATATCACTTTGATAATCCAAGCATAAGTACCAGTTTACATGTATTTGATCATACCATAAAACCAATACTCCTATATGGGTCTGAAATATGTGGAACTTTTAACCCATTTTCAGCAAGATTCAGAAATGGAACCTAACCATTTGATAAAATCTATTCCAGTTTAAAATGTGAGCGACTACACATCAAATTTAGTAAACTTGTTTTAGGTGTTCATAAAAAAACCCACGAATTTTGGAATTTTATCCGAGCTAGGGCAATTCCCATTATATTATGATATAATTAAATCTATGTTGAATTACTGGTATCACTTGGAAAATCTTGATTCCAGTTTCTTTCTTCTCAAAGATGCTTATTTAACATCACAAAATCTTTTTCATTAAAAAAAAAACATCTTGGTATGGCTCTATGAAGTCAGTTCTTGAAACAATCCCAGACATCAATCATATAGCTTTATCATCACCATTAAGTAATAGCTTTGAAAGCTAATATGAAAAAAATATAAAAATCATACTTTTTATTTAACTATGGCACACTTAAAGGATAAATTATTTAGATGGTAAAGTTAGAACTTGTGTTACATTTAAATCAAATTTTGGAAGAGAAAAATATCTTTCCATTATGGGAAATTTTGAACAGAATTTCATCACACCACTTAAGAATTGAGTCCGGAAGGTGTCAGGGTACGCTCCTAAATGACAACTTGTACTCGTGTAACTCTGGAGATGTGGAGGATGAATATCATTTTCTATTTCAATGTGTTAAATTTAATGATGACCGCATTCATCTATTTCAAGAAATAACTAAAAATTGCCCCAATTTTCTAAGTCATAACTCAAAAGATAAACTGATATGGCTTATGAACACAGAAGATAAGTCGATTCTCACTGCTGCTGGTAAATTTTTTTCTAAAAATTATTAGTGGTGTGGCTTTCTTGTCTGCTTCAGACACGAGGAGGACTGCTCCTTGAGCACCAACCCTGGTGTCTGTTGCAGTGGGGAAATCTACACTATTCTCAATACCTATTACTGCAGTATATGTTATTTGCTGTGAATAAACTTGAACTTTTGTTACATTTATGTTTGTTTCTCTGCATCAGATACGAGGAGGTTTGTTAGAGCTCTTAAGCTCACAATCCTAGTGCATCGTCCCTTGGTACCTGTTGCAGCTAATCAATCAATTATATTTATACATTTCCAGTAAAAATATTAAATAAATAAAATAAAAGAACAGAGTTCCAATGTCCCCCGCGCTGCACATATTTTATATTTCCAAGGGGCATAACTCTTTTTAAAAAAGTCGATCGTCCTACATTATAAAACTTGTTCGAGATATTGCTGATATTAACCTATAGTATAAGTTTTATAAAAATCTGGCAAGAATTGTACCCGTGAGAGCGCTAACAAGGCAATTTTCCATAAATTTAATATTTCCAAGGGGCATAACTTTTAAAAAAAAAAGTCAATTGGCCACCATGATAAAACTTGTTCGAGGTATTGCTGATATTAACCTATAGTATAAGTTTTATAAATATCTGGCAATAATTGTACCCGTGAGAGCGCTAACGAGGCCATTTTCCATAAATTTAATATTTCCAAGGGGCATAACTCTTTTAAAAAAAAGTCAATCGACCACCATGATATAACATGTCTGAGATTGCTGATATTAACTTATAGTATAAATTTTATAAAAATCTGGCAAGAACTGTACCTGTGAGTGCGCTAACAAGACGGGACAGACAGACGAACACCCGGTATTTCCATGTCCCCTGCAACGCATAACGCGGGGGACAATAAAAACAACTGCAAATAAAATCAAGTGAAAGGACATTTGCCACATCTCTGGAATAGCAAATCTTAAATACTTTTTTTTATTTAACATATAATAGCCTGTATCACTTTATATCAATATTTTAGGTGTATTATATGAATGTCATGTAAAATACTGTATGTTGTAAAGATTATATTTGTTATATGTGTATACCCGCTTGGGATCCTAATTTGGAAATAATAAATCTTATCTAAATGCACCATGTTCGGTAGTTCTATTTTATTGTTTCAAAAAAAGTAATTACTTTTGTCAGTGACATTTTGAATTTATGTTTGCTATCATAGTCAAAGCAAAAAAATCAAATAACTTTATATTCTAAATGCACCATGTTGGAGACAACATGACATATTTCTGTGCTTAGATTGGTGTTCGTTTAAACCCTCATACAGAATAAGGCAAGACTTTTTCTGACACTGTAAGGGGATCTCATTGGGAGGAAGGGGGGGGGGGGGGGGGGGTCTGATCCAGGATCCTGCTTATTGTTTTGTCAGATTCCTGTATCCCTCTATAATCATTGTAATAATAGCCCCTGTAATTTCACATGTCCCGCCCTACTTTATTTCTCTTTTTCACACACAATAATTTGACTTTCACGAGTAATGCTTACAAAAAATCGGTCAATCCCATGGCACGCTTTGACCCCAATGAGACCCACCTATAAGACATGAAGACCATTTCATTTATTCAAATAATTCTTTGTTCTATAAATGTCCATTCATAAAAAAAAAAAAATGTCCTTTACAATTTACACTGCTGCTAAAACACTTCACCGAGTCAGATCACTAAAAATGAATATATTCTAAATGCACCATGTTGGAGACAACATAACATATTTCTGTGCTTAGATTGGTGTTCGTTTAAACCCTCATACAGAATAAGGCAAGACTTTTTCTGACACTGTAAGGGGATCTCATTGGGAGGAAGGGGGGGGGGGGGGGGGGGGGGTCTGATCCAGGATCCTGCTTATTGTTTTGTCAGATTCCTGTATCCCTCTATAATCATTGTAATAATAGCCCCTGTAATTTCACATGTCCCGCCCTACTTTATTTCTCTTTTTCACACACAATAATTTGACTTTCACGAGTAATGCTTACAAAAAATCGGTCAATCCCATGGCACGCTTTGACCCCAATGAGACCCACCTATAAGACATGAAGACCATTTCATTTATTCAAATAATTCTTTGTTCTATAAATGTCCATTCATAAAAAAAAAAAAATGTCCTTTACAATTTACACTGCTGCTAAAACACTTCACCGAGTCAGATCACTAAAAATGAATATTACATAGTCAGTAAACTGAAAAAAAAAGTTAAATCAAGATGCATTCACATACAGCTTTCAATAAACTTAATAAAATGCTCCGCTGGGCGCAGCTTGATACGACCGCAGAGGTCAAACCCTGAACAGTTGGGGCAAGTATGGACACAACATTCCAGCTTGATACAGCACTGAATTTGGATTGTGATTAAATATTTGACACAGCATAGGTTTCTGACACAGAATGAATGTGGTCTAAGAACTTAAAAAATTTTAGTTTACCTATTCAAACCATATCATTATTATTTGCTTTTATATATAAATCAGAAATTACCAATTTAAAATGGAAAATTTTAAAGAAAAAAAAAATCCCTCCCCCAAATTTTTTGAACCCCCTTATGATTCATCACCCCCAAACTCAATCCCAGCCTTCCCTTTGTGGTATGATACCTTGCAGTACAATTTCAGAGAGATCCATACACTTGAACAAAAGTTATTGTCTGGAAACTAGAAAAATGCTTGTTTTTAGGCCCCTTTTTGGACCCAAATTCCTAATCGTTTAGGGCAATTACCCCCAAACTCAAACCCAGCTTTCCCTTTGTGATATGGAACCTTGTAGTACAATTTCATAAAGATCCATACACTTACACACAAGTTATTGTCCTGAAACTAGAAAAATGCTTGTTTTTTGCCCTTTTTTGGCCTCTAATTCCTAAAATTTGGAGGCAATTACCCCCAAAATCAATCCCAGCATTCCCTTTGTGGTATGGTACCTTGCAGTACAATTTCAGAGAGATCCATACACTTAAACACAAGTTATTGTCTGGAAACTAGAAAAATGCTTATTTTTGGCCCCTTTTTGGCCCCTTATTCCTAAACGTTTTGGGCAATTACCCCAAAACTCAATTTCAGCTTTCCCTTTGTGATATGGAACCTTGTAGTACAATTTCAGAAAGATCCATATGCTTACACACAAGTTATTGTCATGAAACTAGAAAAATGCTTGTTTTTTGCCCTTTTTTGGCCCCTAATTCCTAAAATTTTGAGGCAATTACCCCCAACATCAATCCCAGCATTCCCTTTGTGATATGGAACCTTGTGGTACAATGTCAGAGAGATCCATACACTAACACACAAGTTATGTCTGGAAGTTACAAAAATGCTTATTTTTGGCCCCTAATTCCTTAACTGTTGGTACCATAACCCCCAAAATCAATCCCAACCTTCCTTTTGTGGTATTGAACCTTATGGTAAAATTTCATAGAGATCCATTCACTTAAACTAAAGTTAGAGTGCGAAAACCAATGTGTCTTTGGACGACGACGACAATGCCAACGTCATACCAATAAACGACCGCAAAATTTTTTTGCGGTCGTATAAAAACCTGTTATCCAATCTATTAAATACCCAACTTATTTGCATATTAACTGGTTTGTTCCCTTGTTATAAAACACGAGACAAAAATAAATAACTTTTAAACATTGGCATAATTTAATTGATTCAATTTGTTATGTAAATTTTCATCATAAACTATATGTTAATGAAAAACTCACTCAGGCAGAGTTGAGCTGAAATGGTTTTGTGTTTTTGACTTTCTATTTAGGCCCATTTGGTTTTTATGCTTTCAAACATTTTTGTTGTTGTTGAGTTTTTGAAACTTTTGGTTATGAGTGTACCTAAGAAAGGTTACCCCAGACATGTGTTATGGAAATCATGTCCTTTGTTTTCTACATGATCTAAACTTAAGATTTAAAGATTGCAATTATATATATTAGCAATTCAAAAATTTATGGAATAGGTCTAAATACCAAGAAACTAGAGGTTCCTAAATGTCTAAAGCCCCCACCACAAAAATATGCCATTCTGATATTTATATTCGTTTTAATCCTAATCTTTTATCACAATCAAAATGTTATTCCTAGAAAAGATTATTTGTTTTCAAATTGATGAAGAAATCAATGCATTTTTTTTTCTTTAATTTTTAGTTATAGTTCAACAAGCCAAAGGTGTATGCAAAATTTAACTAAAATCTGTGACAGCCTATTTACTGTATACTTTGAACTTTAAGGCAATAACCCCTATAAGGAGTCATCTGATAATTTGAGTGGAATTAAATATGGTATTATGAACATAATAAGATGATAAGTAAAAAATCGTGAATTTTCCCTTTAACCTTAACATTCTGGACATTTTTTGAGTTATCATATTTTCTTTATCCATTATGGTCTTAAATATTACAAACTTTATACTAGATGCCAAAATTTTCATTCAAATCAAGTTTGGTTTCATTTTGTACAGTGGTATCAGGATTTTTTTTAAACAAGACTTGACAGACAGATGTATGGACGCCTTGTATTTCTATGTCCCCCGCAACGTCTCGTGCGGCGACAAAAAAGTTTATGAAGATTGATGCCAAGTGATGGAAATCACTCACATGGCCAATAGGGCCAAGGGGGTTAGCTAAAACAGAATAACAAAAGTTTAGTTTAAAAACAGAACATAAATCATCTCCTGTAGTTAGGTGTCAGCATTTACTATGGGTTTAAGCCTGACTGTGACTTTGAGATGTAAACATACAAATTCATGTCACTTTTGACAATTCAATATAATTTTGTATTGTTTATTTAGTTTGCGTGCTCTTAGTTTTCATCTAATAAGGTATTCACCATTTAATTAAGGTGTTGTTTCAAAACACAATGCATTCTTTCTTTCTACAGTACTATCATCACTTTGATTAGTAATATCTTCAAGTATCAAGGCTTTTATTCAAAACCAAACATTAACAAATAACATAATTGGGCATTTCTTTTTTCACCAGAATGAACAAAAGCCTGTTCTTATCTGTTCATATTATCAGGCAACTCAGGATTTCAATAAAACTTTAAATTATTGCAATGGTAATTTTAATTTTCATCTCTTTGGTTGTTACAGCAACATTATGGGAACAATGTATTTATTCTCACAGTTTCACAGTTTTATATAATATATTCTATTACACATTTTTTCAAGGAAACAATTTTGTGGTTACCTTGAACATGTTTATATTAGTACATCCGAGTAATGTCAGATGATAGATTCTCACAGCTGACCTGGTGAACATCGCAGAATACCTAATTACCGGATGACATGTAGGATTTCAAAGTAAAACCATACTGGTGTAAATTTTTTAATTCAGTAGGTCAAGTAATGTCATTCATCAGTTTGTTGCACCTGTCCTGGAGGACATCACAGAATACTTCATAATGATGATTGATACCAGACTGTACATGAAGTTTATATTTAGATCCTAAAGCACCTTCTGGATGTGGGCTCCCATAGAAAACCCTTGATATTCTGGAATGTACTAAAGCCATTGCACACCTAAAATAAAAATGATTTTGTCAACTATATTGTTTCATGGTACATGTATTTTGATTCAGACTGTAACTGTACAATACTGACATTGCTGTGTTTGGTGCTCATTTCTTAATTTGCCTTCCTTAAGACTTATCACAGGGTTTGTTCTTACATGAGCAACCCAATGGGTGCCACATGTGGAGCAGAATCTGCTGACACTTCCAGAGCACCTGAGATCACCCCCAGTTTTTGGTGGGGTTTATGTTGCTCAGTCTATAGGTTACTATGTTGTGTTTTGTTTACAATTGTTTGTCGTTTGGTCTTTTTGTATTTTGTCATGGCATTGTCAGTTTGCTTTTTGGCATATGAGTTTGAATATCTCTTTTGTATCTTTCGCTTCTTTTTAAAGAATGCTCAGAGTAAAAAATTGAGTAGCTAAGACCATCTAAGATCAACTTTATTTGAAGCAGCTTCAACCTTAATTTTCGTACAAATCATAAAATTGAGTTGTGATTGTCAGAATGTATTTACTGTGGATTCATCCAGTTCATAGATTTTAAAGGGAAAATTCTATTTTCATGGATACATTATTTCATGGCTTTGACAAATTCTGATATGAAATTTGTACATTTTGTATTTACTTAAGCATGTTGACCCTGAAATTCCTGATTCACCTATACCAGGGACCTATACTATGGAAATTAGTACCAAACAAAAAATCATTAATCCACAGTAAGAATTCAAGACCAATATCCCTAAAATTACCAAGGGACAGATGATAACAGCAGTAGTATTGACCTAATAAATGCAATTCATGGTGAGCAATACAAAATTGATACTTTCACTGAATATTTATGCCCCGCCAAAGCGGAGGGGGCATTAAGTTTTACCCTTGTCTGTCCGTACGTCCGTACGTCCCAAAATTGGTTTCCGTTCTCTAACTTTAGTTTGCCTCTACCAAATGTTATGAAACTTATACACAATGCTCATTACCACAAAACTCAGATTAAGTACAAATTTGGCTAGCTTCACTTTTACAGTTCTTGAGTTATGGCCCTTTAGAAAGTTATATGCAAGCGGGGGCATCATCTGGTCCCATGGACACATTCCCCATTTATTTTTTTTAACTATCATCAATTATAACACATAAACACAAATTTTGCCTTGATAAATTCAGCTTTAATTGGTGTTTTTTGTCATATAAACATGTATAAACAAGAATGTGTCCATAGTACACGGATGCCCCACTCGCACTACCATTTTCTATGTTCAGTGGTCCGTGAAATTGGGGTCATAACTCTAATTTGGCATTAAAATTAGAAAGATTATATCATAGGGAACATGTGTACTAAGTTTCAAATTGATTGGACTTCAACTTCATCAAAAACTACCTTGACCAAAAACTTAAACCTGAAGCGGGGCAGACGGATGGACGAACGAACCAACACGTGGGACCAGAAAACATAATGCCCCTACTACTATAGTAGTATCCTATGTCATTTGGTCTCTGGTGGAGAGTTGTCTCATTGGCAATTATACCAAATCTTTTTATTTTTATAAATACCAGTTTCAAGAAAAAATATTTTATTGATACACAGAATATTAGTATTATAATACTTGCATAATGCATGGTTCTGTGGTAACATACAAGTCATAACCAGTACACAAATAGGGGCCTGTTTTGTCTTTCTTCTGTATGCAACAGAATTCTTTTTGTAAATTGTTGCAACATTTATCTGCAAAGAAAACCAAATATGCAACTAAAAACCCATGGTATTAGATATTAGATATTAGAAGCCTTCATAACCAGCATGCTTAGACTTGATCATAAACTGCAATAGACGGCAAACTAACAAGCAATGTGTCTTGTTTTCCAGGAAAATTAGAATAATATCCCATTACTGTTTTAATTTGCAATTCACAGTAGTTGCTGAGCATGCCTGAATATAAGAATGAAAGGATTTATATATGCATGCAGAGGTATAACAAATTTCATGGATCTATTGATCAATTAAAACAACAAAATCTATATTTTCAACTTATTTGATCAACCAGCTGAATGATTATTTTCCCTTTAATTCAACACTGGGTAGCATGGTCAATTCCTTAGGAATTGCACATTTGCGTCATTAAAATCATTTCAATTTTAATATATTATTTCACAAATAATTATTACCATAAATAAGTTTGACAATCCCCATTCATATATAATCAGTGCAACCTTTTCCACCACATGAATTCAAGGAAAAAATGTTTAGTAATTTGGTAAAACACTGAAAAATTCTCTACTTTTTTAAAACATACCTGATAATTGCCACATTCCACCCCCTTGAACTGTGGCCACCTGATCTATTGCCACCATTACAGCATGCTGAAGAGGATGTTTTCCTTGTCGCAAGTCACATGACTTTGCTATTATTGTGTCCGACTGGGGATCTACTATCACAGCTCCTATATGTAACTTTAAAAAAATAAATAAAACATGGACTATAACAAACTCACAACAGCATATAGTATTTATAGGACAAAATGTCAATGTATGATAAATTAAGTTTTATATGTGTAAAGAGAACAATCATTTCTATTTCAAATTAAATATAGAAGAAGAAAACAAAATACTGAAATGGCAATTTTTGACAGGTAATTCTGGACTGATGTTAAAAATTGATAGTTTATATATATATCTAGTCTAATAAAAACTGAACTGATATGGATATAACAGTAAAACCTGGTAAGCTGAAGACTTGGCAACAGAAATAGCTTCTTCCATGTTCTTATTTATAAGATTCACTTCTTCTGTACTGAAAAAGCTTCTGTTCAAAAGTTTGGTTATCCTGTAAACAAATATTAAACATATCTTAAAATTAATATCATTTTGTAATTCTAATTGATTGAATGATTCTTCAGGGAAATATGTTTTTAATTACAAATTAAAAGTTTTTGACTTTGCTCAAAAAGTTTGTCTAAATGTTAGTGTTTATTGTTATATTGTGTGCTTTTCTTTTGCTTTTTTTTTATTGATCATGGATTGCCGTTTGATTTCTGATTTTCCAACTTTTCTAATAAAATGGGATTGTGTGAATTAAGTTTGGTTTTGTTGTTTGTTGAAAAATTGTTGGTTTATGGATTGAAAATAAAAAAGTTTTAGACCTAACAAATTACAAATCAATGAAAAATTATTGGGTATCAAAATTCACTGTTTTGACTGAGCACATTAAAATCCATGCAAATAAAAGAACAGAGTTCCAATGTCCCCCGCATTTCACATATTTTATCGAACCAAGGACAATAACTAAAAACAGTACTTTTTTTTGGTTCTTTAAAACAATTTATTAATATCTAAGAGAAATGAAGGCTTCAGAGCAAATGCAATGCCATTTCCGTTGTAATTAATTTTTTCAAGGGGCATAACTTGTTAAAAATATTTGATCACCACTTATTTTCAAAAGTGTCAAAGACATTGCTGATATAAACTGATGATATAAGTTTCATAAAATTCTTGCAAGATTTGCAGAATTTTACACATGAGAGCACTAACAATGCAATGTGCCATATAATCAATATTTCCAAAGGGACATGACTCTTTTAAAAATAATTGATCGGCAATAATTCTCAAATTTGTCTGAGACATTGATTATATAAACCTATAATTTCAATTTCATAAAAATCTGGCTAGAATTTGTACAGATAAGAGCGCTCATAAGGCAATTTTCCATATATTTAATATTTCCAAGGGGCATAACTCTTTTAAAAATAATTGATTGACACTGATTTTTGAACTCATCAAAGACATTGCTGATTTAAACCTATGATATAAGTTTCATAAAATTCTAACAAAAATTGTACACATGAGAGCCCTAGCGATGCAAATTTCCATATAATTAATGTTTCCAAGGGGCATAACTCTTTTAAAAATAATTGATCGACACTGATTTTCGAACTCGTCCAAGACATTGCTAATATAAACCTATGATATAAGTTTCATAAAATTCTGGCAAGAACTGTACACATGAGAACGCTAACGATGCAATTTTCCATATAATTGATGTTTCCAAGGGGCTTAACTCTTTTAAAAATATTTGATCCGCACTGATTTTTGAACTCGTCCAAGACATTACAGATATAAAGCAACGATATAAGTTTCATAAAAATCTGGCAAGAACTGTACACCTGAGAGCACTAACAAGACCCGACGGACAGACGCCCATTCTTTCCATGTCCCTTGCAATGCATTTCGCGGGGAACAATAAAAAAAAACTGATGAATAAAAGCACTTTAAAAAAAATCCTTTGGTATAGTCAACTTTAAAAAAAATTAAATTATAGTCCCCTTATATTTTCTTTTTTTTTTAATAGGAATACCTTTTATCTTCATGGAAACTACATGGCCAATATTGTACTGCATTGTTATACTGTTGTCTGGTCAAGGGAGGTAATTTAGGTACTTTTACCATATATGGTTTACTAACATGACAATAGACTGAATTCTTTTCACACAAATCTGTCCAGATATCAGTCAAGAAATCATCTTCATAATTCTCAGCAACAATTATCTGCAATTCGTTGGCTGAAAGATATTTACACCACATTAAACACATTTTTTAATTGTATTTATCCAAGCTGGTAAAGATGGTTTGAAGTTTTAACATTTGTCAATGCTGTTTCAAAGAAAATTAAAATAATTTCACCAGCAGGAATGATTTATATATTATATATTTCATAAGCAGGCAAAATTTTTCCTGCATGTAATTAAGGCAATTACCAAATAAATAATATGAAACAGTATACTGTGGATTCATTTATTTTTGGTGGATACCAATTTTCACGGATTTTGTGGGTAAAAATGAACCATGAATATAAATGTTCAAAGAAGTACAATTTTCTATAGGCTTGTATGCAGACTGGCAAAACCAGGAAATCAAATTTCGAGTCTACGTACAAGCCTATAGAAAATTTGTACTTTGTTGAACATTTATACTAATCTTCACCCAAAAAATCCATGAAAATGGGCATCCATGAACAGTATATACATTTACAACCATTTACATGTGACTGTTATAGTAACACATGTTACTATTTTGTCTGTTTTAGTTTATAAGTAAATGTATTTAAATTGCACCACTTACTTCCAAATTTAAGCTATCTTAAAATAAATATCACTTTGTTATTATAAATAATTGAAGGATTCTTCATGTCCAAAATATACTGTGATATGTTATTGCTATTTTCTTATTATTTAACTAAAACCAAAATTTTGTGCAAAAAAGTTTTATGCAAACATATAATGAAATTTTTACATATTTATTCTATGGTCCTCTGCATTTTGAGATTTGTAATGTCATAATATTGGACTTGCTGAGCTTAAAAATTATTTCTCTTTTAAAATTAAGTTTTGAGTTCCTCATTTTGAGGCAAATAAAGGACCTACAAAGAATATGTCTACCATACTGAACATTTTTATGTCTTTCTACTTCTTTTAAATCTGATAATTTTCCCTTGGTGTAATTTTTGTCGAGCCTGCAACTTTTGTCGCAGAAAGCTGAACATAGGGATAGTGATCCGGTGGTGGCGGCGGCGATGTTAACTAACTTCTTAAAAGCTTAATATTTCAGAAGGTAGAAGACCTGGATGCTTCATACTTTGTATACAGATGGCTAAGATGCCTTATGATATGAAATTTCCGTCTGTCATATGTCCATTTTCCTTGACCTCATTTTCATCGTTCAGTGACTATTTGAAAAAAAAGTTAAGATTTTTTGTAATGTTAATTTCTCTCGTATTATGAGTAATAGGATAACTTTATTTGGTTTGTGCGTACCTTGCAAGTCCTCATGCCTGTCAGATAGTTTTCACTTGACCTCGACCTCATTTCATGGATCAGTGAACAAGGTTACGTTTTCTTGGTCAAGTCTACATCTCAGATACTATAAGTAAAAGGTCTACTATATTTGGTGTATGTAATGATTGTAAGTTGTACATGTCCAACTGGCAGGTGTCATCTGACCTTGACCTCATTTTCATGGTTCAGTGGTAAAAGTTAAGTTTTTGTGTTTTGGTCTGTATTTCTAATACTGTATGCAATAGGTCCACTATATTTGGTGTATGGAAATATTTTACGATGTACATGTCAGTCTGGCAGGTTTTATTTAACCTTGACCTCATTTTCACGGTTCATTGCTCAATGTTAAGTTTTTCTGTTTTGGTCTGTTTTTCAAATAATGTATGGAAATCTTTTACGATGTACATGTCAGTCTGGCAGGTATCATCTGACGTTCACATCATTTTCATGGTTCATTGGTCAATGTTCAGTTTTCTTGGTTAACTTTGTTTCTTAGATACTATAAGCAATAGGTCAAATATATTTGATGCATTGAATGATTTTAAGGTGATCATGTCTGTCTGGCAGGGTTCATCTGACCTTGACCTCATTTTTATGGCTCATTGATCAATATAAAATTTCAATCGTTTGGTCTGTTTCTTAGATACTATAAGCCATAAGTCATCAATATTCAGTGTATGTAATGATTGTATTAAAGGTGTACATGTATTTCTGGCTTGGTTTATCTGACCTTGACCTCATTTTCTTGGATCATAAATGTTAATGTGATACTAGTAAAACTTTATATTTATGACTTTCAACATAAAATCAATGGTCAGTATAGTAGGCGAGACATATCAGCGTATGCACTCTTGTGGAAGTTGTTTCATTCTACATCTATCAATAAGATAAATAAATATAATATAAAAATCAATAAAATAATACCTTGATTTGTATTGGATCTGACTCTTTTCAGGTGGGATAACTTGTCCAAAGGTAAATGTTTACAAATGTTTCTGTAAAGTAAATAAACTAGACATCATTGAGATGGGAGCCATTTCTGTGGGCCCCGCTGTGAATAACATGTGGTAAAAAATTTGTATCTTTACCATAGGACATGGGGTTGTCATCTGAAACCAAAGTTTTTGACCTTGACCTTTGACCTAAGCAGTTGTACATACTTCATGACACACCCTCTGGTGTTGGTTAATATACATGTCAGGTATAAACTTTGAAATCATAACGGTTCTCTAGATATAGAGCGAACACGATCTTTACCATAGAACATGGGGTTGTCAAATGAAAACCAAAGTTTTTGACCTTGACCTTTGACCTAGGAAGTCGTACATACATCATGACACACCTTCTGGTGTTGGTTAACTTAATATACATATAAGTATAAAGTATGAAATCATAACGGTTCTTTAGATATAGAGTGGAAACAATTTGTTACGGACAGAAGGACAGACAGACTGATCACTACAGGGCTACCTGCCATTCGCCGGGGCCCTAATAAAATCCTCTGTTAAAAAGATGGAATAATCACACATTGAATCAATGCATGTATTAAACATAATGTACAAGAAAGAAAGACATTAGGAAAAACAAAATAAACTGTTATCACAGAGATATGTCTCGCCTTTTTGTAATTTTGATAACACTAATGTTGAAATTAAAATAGCAATACTTTAACATGTAAGTTATGCAAATATTCAAAGTCGATGAACCATGACTGAAGGTTCATGGCTAAACAATCTCCATGGAATGAGATGTGCCAATGCTAATACAACTGCATACCAAATACCATTGACTTATTATAAGTCGTTCCCTTTAAACAAACCTAAACACAAACATTAACTTGTAAACTATGTAAAAGTTTCAAAGTCAATGAACCATGATCAGGGGTGGGTCTATATAATCTCCATGGAAACGATACTTGCAAATGCCAATAAATTTGCATACCAAATATTATTGACTTAACATTAGCAGTTCATCTTAAACTGATCTAATCACAAACTAATACATGTTAACTAAGCAAAATTTTCAAAGTCTATAGACCATGACTGAGGGGGCGGAGCCAAATAATCTCCATGGAAATAAGATATGCCAATGCTTATACAACTGCATACCAAATATCATTGACCTACCACTAGTGGTTCCCCATAAATTGGTCTAATCAAAAACTAATACATGTAAACTATGAAAAGTTTCAAAGTCAATAGACCTTGACTGAGGGGGCGGGGCCAAATAATCTCCATGGTAATGAGATGTGCCAATGCTAATACAACCGCATACCAAATATCATTGACCTACCACTAGTGGTTCACCATGAACTAGACCTAATCACAAACTATTACATTGTTGACACCGCCGTCAATGCTGGAAACAGCATACCTATTTCTTGCTTTTTGACTCCGTCAAGGCGAGACAAAAACCCAACAGGAATAACAGGAATTTCCTAAAACATTTGACATCAAAACTATCTATGCCATCTCATCCCTGAACGAAAACCCACAATAAACACTAGCTTACAACATTTACAGGATACTACTTCATTTTTGGTTAATTGCAACTTACTTCACTATTTCTGAGGTCTTCTTTTTGTCTTTAATTGTACACACAAATATGTCAACTGAAAAAAATGAATAAATAAAATAAAGTTTTTAAAGTTATGGGCAACTGATTTCAAAGGATTCATTTAGTAATATTTCAGAAAATAAAAGAGATAAATACATCATATTTTTTCAACTTTCTGTTATAGTTCAAGGAGCAAATGTTATATGCAAATTCTATTAAGATCTATGAAATAACATTTACTGTACCTTGACTTAAAATGATACAATCTTACTGAGGTAATCCAGTTACTTTTTTGCACATTATTTTCTGAATGGTCATTGATTTCTAGGTATATGTTTTATCCCTGTCTTGTGTTGAATATTTTTTGTACTGAATTCTGACAAATTGTCTGAGAGCTTCGGTCAAACTTGGCTGAAATATGCCTAGTAATAATAGTTTTTAAAAGAAACTATTTTTTTTGTAAAAGAGTGAACAAGAGTGCACATGCTGAAATGTTTCACCTCTTTTACTTACCATGATTAATTTTATGTTGATAGTCCTCAAGATAAAGTATTACTACAAATATTATCAATGATCCGTGAAAATAAGGTCAAGGTCAGATAAACCATTCGATACACTAAATATAGTTGAGCTAATTGCTTATAGTATCTGAGAAACAGATTTAACCAGAAAACCAAACATTGACAAATGACCCATAAAAATGAGGTCAAGGACAGACGATACCAGTCAGACTGACATGTACTCATTATAATCATTCCATACACCAAATGAAGTTGACCTATTGCTTATAGAATTCGAAAAACAGACCAAAACACAAAAACATCACACTGACCAATGAACCGCGAAAAATTAGGTCAAGGTTAGATGATAAGTGCCAGACAGACATGTACACCTTACAATCATTCCATACACCAAACAAGTTAACCTATTGCTTTTAGTATTTAAAAAAAAACGGACCTTATAACAAAAAACTTAACATTAACTGAACCATGATAATGAGGTCAAGGTCAGATGAAACCTGCCAGACGACATGTGCCCTTCACAATTATCAACTACACCACATATAGTTGACCTACTGCTTATAGTATCAGTGAAACAGACATAATCTAGTAACTTTAACCTTAATCACCGATCGATGAAATGAGGTTGAGGTCAGATGAACACTGTCTGACGGACATGTAGATGTTCACAGGAACCCATATACCAAAATATAGTTATCCTACTACTCATAATAAGCTACAAATTCAAAGCTATAGCGGTGGGGGCATTAAGTTTTACCCTTGTCCGTCTGTATGTACGTACGTCCCAAAATTGGTTTTCGTTCTCTAACTTCAGTTTGCCTCAACCAAATGATATGAAACTTCTACACAATGCTTATTACCACAAAACACAGATCAAGTTTGAATTTTGGTAGCATCACTTTTACTGTTCTAGAGTTATGCCCCTTTACAAATTTTTAGTTTCCGTTCTCTAACTTAAGTTTGTCTCAACTAAATGTTATGAAACTTATACACAATGCTTAATACCACAAAACACAGATCAAATATGAATTTTGGTGCGTCACTTCAACCGTTCTAGAGTTATGCCCCTTTACAAATGGAAAAATTGCAAAAAAAATTTTTTCTTCTAAATATCAAGTAATTTTTAAAATTGGAGTTATCTTCCTTTGTCCATGATTATAGTTGAATCAACTACAATCAATGCTTTATACAATGCAATATTTAATTTTGACTTCCACTGATAAAACACAGATCAAGTTGAATTTGGGTAGTGTCGCTTTTACCGTTCTTCAGTTATGTCCCTGTATAACTATATGCTATGCAAGCGGGGGCATCATCTGTGTCCACATGTGGACACTATCCACATTTATTTTTCAAGCAGTCGCTGAACCATAGAAATGAGTCAAGGACAATGGACATATGACAGAAAGAAACTTTGTAACTTAAAGTATCTGCATACAAGGTATAAAGCATTAACCTGATGAAGGTCTCCTACCTTCTGAAATATTAAGCTTTATACAAATTGTTTACATTGCCACTGCCGCAGCCAGATAGTAATCCCTATGTCTCACTTGATGCAAATTTTGTCGCAGGCAAGTCAAAAATGAATCACATGATGACACCTAAATCCAAATGAAAGTAGCTCATATTACACTGTAAAAAGTATTCTTTAAAAAAAAATTGTTCATTATCTCAACCATGAAAGTAAAAAATATTAACAAATGGGAATTAATTCTTACAAACCTAACTTAAGTGAACGATAATATACATCATCTAAAACCGCTTCTGGTTGTTTTATTGAAGTTGTTTCTTTACTGAATTGTTTCTTTGAGCTGGAACTAATATTATTTTCACAGCAATCGCTCAAAACCTCCATGTTCTTAATCCAAAGTTCACAACTGTCATCGTAATCTACATCAGGATGGTCCACCTACTTTCAGTTATAAATACAGATCTGATGAAGAAAAGGAAAAATATTATGGATAATAATGATATATGTCAAGGACATACGTCCTTGTATATGTGTAACAGATATTTTAATTTTTGTTAATAATTCCTTTGATAAATATCATGAATATTTCAAGTTCTGCAGTCTTCCTAGGAAACTTTAAAAGATAATAACTTCTTGCAATGACCTTGACATTAGAGCATATGACCTCAATATTTTTTTTCCAATTAGGGATCCAGACAATTTTAGACCAAGGCTGACTCACACCTTTTTTGTTTCTTTATGTTTGTAACACAAGAATATACATGATGACAATAGCTCATTACATCATCACAGTTAATCTATTGGATTAGCATGATTAGCAACTTAAGGATAATCACAGATTTACCTGTTACTAGCCTTAATTACCTGTATACATTTAAAAAACTCTATTCTCCAATTCCTACTTCAGTTATATTTGATTAGTATTTCTTTGATCTACAGAACAACACATTTTTATGCTAGACATCCAAATTCAGCAATGCTGCTTCATGGACTTGGGAACTGGGGTCCTGGAGATCCCTATCTACAATATCATGAGTATGTATATCTTTATATTATTAAGGATTTGCAATTCTTTAAAACTGGATCACATGTACATTTGTATTTACTCAGTTTGCACGCCAATGTGTTACTGTTGTATTTAGCTTTTTGTAGGTAAAAAAACAGCATATTGCACAGGGCATATAGCATGTTACTAAAAATATGCTTCTCTTAGGTTGATATAACCTTGTATTGACCACATACAAAGGCTATAATTGTATAATATATAAACATGCACCTATTTATTAGACAGGTTTTTAATAACAAATTTAATTATATATGATTATGGGAAGATCATGGGAAGAAGTATTAAAATGGTTCTTTCTTATATTTAAACATGGTTGTTTTATATATATGTAATTATGCCAGAAATAGGTTATTAAAAAAAGAAGAAATGAAGTCATTGACAACAAATATCCACCAAATGCAAAGAGTTCTTCTAGTAATGCCCAATGATTATTACACTGCCACTGCCACCAGAAATGAGCGGGATGTTTACAGTGTATTGCTGTAATCTCTTTATTACATGTCTATGGGAGAACAGACACCAGGGTAAACTAGACTTAGGGTGAACATGTTACCCCCCCCCCTGGACTTAGGATGAACATGTTACCCCCCCACATATCATTCCAAGTTAATCATGTTAATATAATTTTTCAAAGACAAAGGTATGCTGAGGTTCCTTTTTTCAATTATGGAATATCTGAGGACCTATAAATGGAAAACATTGTCCTAAGAAATTTTGAACTAACACTCTAATCGTGAGTGGAGTAATTCTATGTGATTAGTTTGAGTATATGGACTGCATGGGATCTCTGTATATTCTTAACCGGAAAATATGTCCGACAAGGTTTTGTCTTTTAGAAATTTGGAAAGAAAATATATTAAACAACGTTCTATTGGCTGAAATTACAGATTTGTCCAATCGTACGTTCTGTATTATGCCAATGTAATTTAGATGTGAGCCGGAGAGCTCGATGAGCTGAAGAACACTTTCGCAAATTACACGGTGATTAAAACACTGTAATTAACATATATTACTTGATTTTTGCTTTCAACGTAAACAAAAGATTCGAATGAAGCATATCAATGCTTGTCACCCAATAAATTGAACAAGCACAGTCTTACTAAGTCTTGTAAAGATGTTAACGATATACCTTTACCAAGGATTTTTATTATAAAATCATTACCTTAAATTGTCCAAAAAATCATAACGTCTTGTTATCCTGGGAACAGTAAATCTATAGGCAGTATATATGTTCCTGTGTAATGCTATTCAGTATTCTTGTTTTTGGCAATTTGCTGTGACGACTGTAATATTAGGAGTACATTACAATTTACAGCCAAAAAATGAAAAAGCCTCTGTATTTTCCCATGGATATTTAAAGAAGCGGACACAAATTTCAGTTGCCATGCTTTCATCAGCACAGCTATGTTTCCTACTGTGAAAAAATTGAAGCTGTGTTTATTAATAATTTATTGAAATAATTTAAAATGACAGTAGTATCCTATTTTGAAACAGGTGAAAGCATGTGTTCTGAAACTCTACCAACTGGTAATTGTTAACACTTGGATTGCTTGAATGTAAATATTAGATAGAAGTCTGATCCATTTTGATGCACATCTCCCACATATCTTACAAATATCTCACCCAACACCTAGATTTGACATCAAGAGTTAGGGTAATAAAAAAACCCTGATATTTCAAATATTTCAAAGCAAATATTGTGTTTGAAAGAAATTTCATCAGATATAGGTGAAAAACACTAAAGTTGAGGTTTTTCACATTTATTTTCTTAAACTATAATCACAGCAATCAGTATATTTTCTGATTGGCTTATACACATTGTTATTTTTTTTTAACTGACATGGTTGTTTGATTATGTGAAAGAATACACATCACTGATACAAAGTTGAAATGAGTTGTAGAATCCTAGATAGTGAACTTTTACATTGTAATTTTTAGTAAAATTTCAGTTACTTGAGTTGTTATTTGGAAGTGCAATTTGATAGGTTGTAGACATACTGGTACTAAAGAATCACTGCTGAATCTAATTTTGCAATAAATGTTTCTACTCTTTACAGGTCTACAGCCAGTAAAATGGATTTTCAAGCATACCCCAGAAATATGGGGAACAAAAGTTCCCATGCATTAAAGTTGCAGCAACATTTATATGATCAGATGTCATCTCAAACTGAATTCTGTGATGTTACCCTGATGGTGGGAGATATTGTAAGTATATATGTAAAAATTTACAGCTGATTCCAACGAGTGTGTAGCTAAAGGTAGAATCTTTGGTTAGCTTCCTTGCTAGCTCAACCATGAAATAATTATTACCTTAAGATTGGGAGGAGCAAAGCACCATTTTAACATCCAATGAAAACATTTATATCAATGGCCTGTTTATTATTTATAATATATGTATGTTTCATACAAAGGTTTACCTAGACTACTTTGCAAATAAAATTTCATTTCTTAGTCTTTGATTGAATTAAAAAATCTTTTTATTACAATAAATTAGAAGCGGAGTAACGTTTTTTTTTAAATATTTACGCCGTGAATAGGCAGTTTAGTTAATTAGTGTCTTTAGGTGCATGCAAAAAACATTGTTATGGTCTTGGTGTCTTTCCTTCATATATATGTATAGTTTTTAGAACTAAAATCTTCTATATTCGCATTTATTTTTAAACTGACTTGTAAAACTAGATTTACAATGTTTATATTCTATCACTTAATTCTGATTGGTTCTCTGCTTAACTATTGATTCCACCCAAAGGCTGGATGTGCCTTACCTAATAATGATTTCATGGTTGAGCTAGCAAGGAAGCTAACCAAAGATTCTACCTTTAGCTACACACTCGTTGAAATCGGCTGTAAATCAAATTTGCTGAAGTACTTTTATTTGTAATTGATTCATTCCTCTGTGGAATCAAATATTCATTTTTCAGCTAGTCTTCATGATTACACCCATTGGTGGCCTTCGGCTGTTATCTGCTCTTTGGTCGGGTTGTTGTCTCTTTGCATGTTAATGCACAAATTGCTGTCTGAAACAGATCTGCAAGTTCTACACACATTAAGTGTATTGGATTTGTTTTAAGCAAAACCATTTAAAAATGAATGAGAGTACAAATGATCAAATAGTAATATATTGAAGGGCCAATGCCTCTCTCTAAAAACTCACCCTTTCTTTCTTGTGTTCTTAACAGATTTAAAGACATTAGTTTTCCTTTGATTTTACAGTAATGTGATCCCTGGGATTGACCTTATTTTCATGGTTTATTGTTCAACAAAAAGATTAGCACTTAGGTCAGTTTCTCAATCAATGTAATTTACCAATCAACTGTAATCTATAATCATCGTAAGAGCTACATGTCCTTCTGAAATGTTTTTTTTTGGGGGGAAGCTAGTTTCCTTAATTTTTTTGATATACTAGTATATAGAAATCAGTAGACATTATAGATATATCACCTTTCCATACAAGCCTTCAAATAGATTCTCTCTAGATTATATTTAATACTAGTGTCATTACCATTTAGATGGCCTTTATAATACAAACCTGTAGTATTTCAACACAACCATTTGAGAGGGGCCTGATGGGTTATTTTCGTTCTTCGTGATCGGCGCATTTTCGCTTTCGTGATCCGTTTTTCTACAGATTTTTATACGACCGCAAAAATTTTTAATTTTTTGGTCGTATATTGGTATGACGTTGGCGTCGTCGTCGTCGTCGTCATCGTCCGGCGTCGTCCGAAGACACATTGGTTTTCGCACTCTAACTTTAGTTTAAGTGAATGGATCTCCATGAAATTTCACCATAAGGTTCAATACCACGAAAGGAAGGTTGGGATTGATTTTGGGGGTTATGGTACCAACAGTTAAGGAATTAGGGGCCAAAAATAAGCATTTTTGTAACTTTCAGACAATAACTTGTGTGTAAGTGTATGGATCTCTCTGACATTGTACCACAAGGTTCCATATCACAAAGAGAAGGCTGTAATTGATTTTGGGGGTAATTGCCTCAAAATTTTAGGAATTAGGGGCCAAAAAAGGGGCAAAAAACAAGCATTTTTCTAGTTTCATGACAATAACTTGTGTGTAAGTGTTTGGATATTTCTGAAATTGTACTACAAGGTTCCATATCACAAAGGGAAAGCTGGAATTGAGTTTGGGGGTAATTGCCCGAAACGTTTAGGAATTGGGGGCCAAAAAGGGGCCAAAAATAAGCATTTTTCTAGTTTCCAGACAATAACTTGTGTTCAAGTGTATGGATCTCTCTGAAATTGTACTGCAAGGTACCATACCACAAAGGGAAGGCTGGGATTGAGTTTGGGGGTGATGAATCATAAGGGGGTTCAAAAAATTTGGGGGGGGGATTTTTTTTTTTTTTTTTTTCTTTTTTTCCTTTTTTTTTCTTTTAAAATTTTCCATTTTAAGTTGGTTATTTCTGATTTATATTTAAAAGCAAATAATAATGATAGGGTAGGAGATACACACCAAACAGGATGTGTAAATTATTATATAATAAGTATTGTGCAATAGCAAGAAATTTTCAATTGCACAGTATTGCACAATAGCAAGAAATCTTCAATTGCACAGTATTGCGCAATAGCAAGAAATCTTCAATTGCACAGTATTGCGCAATAGCAAGAAATATCCAATAGCACAATATTGCGCAATAGCAAGAAATTGCCAATTGTACAGTATTGCGCAATAGCAAGAAATATTCAATTGCACAGTATTGTGCAAAAGAAGATACTTCGTATAAATTGCTTATTTCTTGATCAATTTCAATGGGGTTTTATTCTTGAATTCTTGGGGTTCTTTAATATGCTGAATCTAACCGTGTATTAAGTTTTTGGATTTTGGGCCCCGTTTTTAAATTGGTCCACATTGAGGTCCAAAGGGTCCAAAATTTAACTTTGTTTGATTTCATCAAAAATTGAATTATTGGGGTTCTTTGATATGCCAAATCTAACCGTGTAATAAGATTTTTAATTTTGGGTCCCGTTTTTTAAATTGGTCTACATTAAGGTCCAAAGGGTCCAAAATTAAACTTAGTTTGATTTTAACAAAAATTGAATTCTTGGGGTTCTTTGATATGCTGAATCTAAACATGTGTTTAGATTTTTGATTATGGGCCCAGTTTTCAAGTTGGTCCAAGTTGGGTCCAAAATTAAACTTTGTTTGATTTCAACAAAAATTGAATATATGGGGTTCTTTGATATGCTGAATCTAAACATGTATTTAGATTTTAGATTTTTGGCCCAGTTTTCAAGTTGGTCCAAATTGGGGTCCAAAATTAAACTTTGTTTGATTTCAACAAAAATTGAATATATGGGGTTCTTTGATATGCTGAATCTTACCATGTATTTAGATTTTTTATTTGTGGGCCCGCTATCAAATTGGTTCATATTGAGGTCAAAAGGGTCCAAAATTAAACTTTGTTTGATTTCATCAAAAATTGAATTATTGGGGTTCTTTGATATGCCAAATCTAACCGTGTATTTAGATTTTTAATTTTGGGTCCTGTTTTTTAAATTGGTCTACATTAAGGTCCAAAGGGTCCAAAATTAAACTTAGTTTGATTTTAACAAAAATTGAATTTTTGGGGTTCTTTGATATGCTGAATCTAAACATGTGTTTAGATTTTTGATTATGGGACCAGTTTTCAAGTTGGTCCAAGTTGGGGTCCAAAATTAAACTTTGTTTGATTTCAACAAAAATTGAATTTTTGGGGTACTTTGATATGCTGATTCTAAACATGTGTTTAGATTTTTGATTATGGGACCAGTTTTCAAGTTTGTCCAAGTTGGGGTCCAAAATTAAACTTTGTTTGATTTCAACAAAAATTGAATATATATGGGGTTCTTTGATATGCTGAATCTAACCATGTATTTTGATTTTGGACATTGGACCATAATAGGTAAATTAAAAAAATTGAAGTTCTTAGACCACATTCTTTCTGTGTCAGAAACCTATGCTGTGTCAAATATTTAATCACAATCCAAATTCAGAGCTGTATCAAGCTTGAATGTTGTGTCCATACTTGCCCCAACTGTTCAGGGTTCGACCTCTGCGGTCGTATCAAGCTGCGCCCAGCGAAGCATTTTATTTTTTTTATATTTTCATGATCTGTGATCATGGAAATTTATTTTCTGTGAATTGTGATTGACAAAAAAATCAACCCGTGAATCGTGATGAGACCCCCCCATCAGGCCCCTCATTTGAGTCTTACCAAATTGATTTTAACAGAGTATGCTTGTGAATCATGTGTATGTAAATAATTCACTCTGATATTAAAAATTTGTATGTTTGATAAGATTATAAATCAAGAATATTCCGAAGAGGGTATTGTGTACCTGCTACATATTTTGTTTTAATTTACAGGAAGTGAAGGCCCACTGGAATGTACTGGTATCCTGTCCCTACTTTCAGTCCTTATATGATAGTGGGATGGATGAAAAAGTATCAGGTATTAAAATTGTCTCTACAAAAAGTTAAAATAAGAATCACAAAGAACATTAATTCTTGTATGCTTGAAATGTATTTTTTGAATATCTCATTTAACATGTTTAACATCCTTTAGCTGCACATAACAATAAAGTTTACAGAATTTTTAGCAGAGTTGTCACAAAATTGAACTATGCTTATAATATTTTTGTTTCTGGACAAATTTTTGGTACATCTATGACAAAGGCCTATTGCTTTAAGATTAAATTCAAGATAGTTACAAAAAACCAAATGTCACATCTTAAAGCTAAGTTAAATTGATTTGTCATAAAAGAATATCCAACAGTTCAGGATTTGGTCATATAGCTCCTCAAGTATTTATACATCCTTGCTCATGTTGGTTCTCAATATTCATTTAAGAATTGAATGCTCCTTTTTATACGACCGCAAATTTTTGCGGTCGTATATTGGTATTACGTTGGCGTTGTCGTTGTCGTCCAGTGTCGTCCTAAGACACATAAGTTTTCGCACTCTAACTTAAGTTTAAGTGAATGGATCTCTATGAAATTTTACCATAAGGTTCAATACCACAAAAGGAAGGTTGGGGGTTATGGTACCAACAGTTAAGGAATTAGGGGCCAAAAATAAGCATTTTTGTAACTTCCAGACATAACTTGTGTGTTAGTGTATGGATCTCTCTGACATTGTACCACAAGATTCCATATCACTCAGGGAATGCTGGGAATGATTTTGGGGGTAATTGCCTCAAAATATTAGGAATTAGGGGCCAAAAAAGGGGCAAAAAACAAGCATTTTTCTAGTTTCATGACAATAACTTGCGTGTAAGTGTATGGATCTTTCTGAAATTGTACTACAAGGTTCCATATCTCAAAGGGAAAGCTGGAATTGAGTTTGGGGGTAATTGCCCAAAACGTTTAGGAACAAGGGGCCAAAAATAAGCATTTTTCTAGTTTCCAGACAATAACTTGTGTTCAAGTGTATGGATCTCTCTGAAATTGTACCACAAGGTTCCATATCACACAGGGAATGCTGGGATTGATTTTGGGGGTACTTGCCTCAAAATATTAGGAATTAGGGGCCAAAAAAGGGGCAAAAAACAAGCATTTTTCTAGTTTCATGATAATAACTTGTGTGTAAGTGTATGGATCTTTCTGAAATTGTACTACAAGGTTCCATATCACAAAGGGAAAGCTGGAATTGAGTTTGGGGGTAATTGCCCAAAACGTTTAGGAATAAGGGGCCAAAATGGGGCCAAAAATAAGGATTTTTCTTGTTTCCAGACAATAACTTGTGTTCAAGTGTATGGATCTCTCTGAAATTGTACTGCAAGGTACCATACCACAAAGGGAAGGCTGGGATTGAGTTTGGGGTGATGAATCATAAGGGGGTTCAAAAAATTTGGGGGGGGGGGATTTTTTTTTTTTCCTTTTTTTTCTTTTTTTCCTTTTTTTTTTCTTTTAAAATTTCCATTTTAAGTTGGTTATTTCTGTTTTATATTTAAAAGCAAATAATAATGATATGGTAGGAGATACACACCAAACAGGATGTGTAAATTATTATATAATAAGTATTGTGCAATAGCAAGAAATTTTCAATTGCACAGTATTGCACAATAGCAAGAAATCTTCAATTGCACAGTATTGCGCAATAGCAAGAAATCTTCAATTGCACAGTATTGTGCAATAGCAAGAAATATCCAATAGCACAATATTGCGCAATAGCAAGAAATTGTCAATTGTACAGTATTGCGCAATAGCAAGAAATATTCAATTGCACAGTATTGTGCAAAAGAAGATACTTCGTATAAATTGCTTATTTCTTGACCAATTTCAATGGGTTTTTATTCTTGAATTCTTGGGGTTCTTTAATATGCTGATTCTAGCCGTGTATTAAGTTTTTGGATTTTGGGCCCCGTTTTTAAATTGGTCCACATTGAGGTCCAAAGGGTCCAAAATTAAAGTTTGTTTGATTTCATCAAAAATTGAATTATTGGGGTTCTTTGATATGCCGAATCTAACCGTGTATTTAGATTCTTAATTTTTGGTTCCGTTTTCAAATTGGTCTACATTAAGGTCCAAAGGGTCCAAAATTAAACTTAGTTTGATTTTAACAAAAATTGAATTCTTAGGGTTCTTTGATATGCTGAATCTAAACATGTATTTAGATTTTTGATTATGGGCCCAGTTTTCAAGTTGGTCAAATCGGGGTCCAAAATTAAACTTTGTTTGATTTCAACAAAAATTGAATATATGGGGTTCTTTGATATGCTGAATCTAACCATGTATTTAGATTTTTGATTTTTGGGCCCCATTATCAACTTTGTCCACATTGAGGTCAAAAGGGTCCAAAATTAAACTTTGTTTGATTTCATCAAAAATTGAATTCTTGGGGTTCTTTGATATGCTGAATCTAACCATGTATTTAGATTTTGGATATTGGACCATAATAGGTGAATGTCCAATTTAAAATTTTTAAGTTCTTAGACCACATTCATTCTGTGTCAGAAACCTATGCTGTGTCAAATATTTAATCACAATCCAAATTCAGAGCTGTATCAAGCTTGAATGTTGTGTCCATACTTGCCCCAACTGTTCAGGGTTCGACCTCTGCGGTCGTATCAAGCTGCGCCCTGCGGAGCATTTTATTGTAAATTTATTGAGGTGTAAAAGCGTTGACCGAAGTACATTTTGTATGGAAGCGCTTCATTCTTAAACTGTGTGCACAGTCAACGCTTTTATGACCCTATAAAATTACTAAAAGAAGCATTCGATACTTATAACACCATTTCTATCAAGTTTTTATGCCCCCGCCGTAGCGGAGGGGGCATTAAGTTTTACCCTTGTCCGTCTGTACGTACATACCTCCCAAAATTGGTTTCCGTTCTCTTACTTTAGTTTGCCTCAACCAAATGTTATGAAACTTATACACAATGCTTATTACCACAAAACACAGATCAAGTTTGAATTTTGGTGGCGTCACTTCTACCGTTCTAGAGCTATGCCCCTTTACAAATGGAAAATTGCTGAATTTATCATTTCCATTCTCTAACTTTAGTTTGCCTCAACCAAATGTTATGAAACTTATACACAATGCTTATTATCACAAAACACAGATCAAGTACAAATTTGGGTATTTCCCTTCTCTAACTTTAGTTTGCCTCAACCAAATATATTGAAACTTATACACAATGCTTATTACCACAAAACACAGATCAAGTTTGAATTTTGGTGGCGTCACTTTAACCGTTCTAGAGTAATGCCCCTTTATAAATGGAAAAATTGCAAAATTTTTATTTTCTTCTAAATATCAAGTAATTTTTAAAATCAGATTTGTCTTCCTTTGTCCATGATTATAGTTGAATCAACTACAATCAATGCTTTATACAATGCAATGTTTAATTTTGACTTCCACTGATAAAACACAGATCAAGTCGAATTTGGGTAATGTCACCTTAACCATTATTGAGTTATGCCCCGTTATAAATCAAAAGATTGCAAAATTTTTAGTTTCCATTCTGTAACTTAAGTTTGCCCCAACCTAACATTATGAAACCTATACTCAATATTCATTACCACAAAAATAAGATCGAGTACAAATTTTTGTTTCCGTTTTCTAACTTTAGTTTGCCTCAACCAAATGTTATGAAACTTATACCCAATGCTTATTACTACATAATACAGATTAAGTACGAAATTAGGTGGCGACACTTTTACCGTTCTTCAGTTATGTCCCTTTATACCTATATGATATGCAAGCGGGGGCATCATCTGTGTCCACATGTGGACACTATCCACATTTATTCTTTTATTTACCTGTGCACTTTATTGTGGAAGCTCGTGTCATCATGAATGTTGCATTTCATTTTGAAATGAAGGTTAATTTCAGAATGACGCAAGATTGCTGTTAACCAATCATAATAACGTATTATAATTATGAAACATACATGTAATTTATTATAATGTCAGAATGGAAATCCAGAAAAGCCCATATATATACACTTAAAGGAAAACTGACTTTTGTTGATTTGATATTCATGAATATGTTTTGACATCTAAAACATGTTTATGACTAAATTGAATATTTTAAATTTGGATCTCAGTCGCAGAGTAGTAAAAAAAATAAGCAGGAGATACCATAGTGACAATCAAATTCATATTTTGAACTGAATCAGACAAAACCATGGCAAAAAAGGAAAAAAACAATGAAAAGAAAAACAATCTACAAAACCCTACATAGAAAATGAAAGACTGAGCAACATAAAACTCACCAAAACTGGTAGTAATCTCAGCACTCCATGAGGGGTAGGCAGATCCTGCTCCAAATGTGGTACCCATCACATAGTTCAGCATGTCAATTCTGAGGTTTTAGTTTGAATCCAGCTCTTTCCAAGTTGTGTTTGAATTAATTGACAAGGTTTGCCAAATTTCCTGCCTAAGGTTGGTGATTCTCTGACTTCCTCCACAAATAAATAAAATGCTTCGCAGAGCGCAGCCTGATACGACCGCAGAGGTCGAACCTTGACCAGTTGGGGCAAGTTTGGACACAATATTCAAGCTTGATACTGTCTGAATTTGGATTGTGATCAAATTTTTGACATAATATAGGTTTCTGACACAAAATAAATGTGGTCAAAGAGCTTAAAAATTTGAAATGGGACATTCATTTTACCTAGAATGGTCTGATATCCAAAATCTAACAACATGGTTAGATTCAGCATATAAAAAAACACCAAAAAATTTAATTTTAGTTGAAATCAATCAAAAGTTTAATTTTGGACCCTTCAAACCTTAATATGGACTAATTTGAAAACAGGGCCCAAAATAAAAAATCTAAATACACAATAAGATTCAGCATATCATACAGCTGCAATCATTCAGTTTTTGATGAAATCAAACAAAGTTTAATTTTGGACCCTTTTGACCTCAATGTAGACCAATTTAAAAATGGGGCCCAATATCCAAAAAAGTAATACAAGGTAAGAACCCCCAAAAATTAAAGACTTTAAATGAATCCCATTGAAATTGGTTAAAAGATTTGTATTTATTTTCAATTGAAGATTTCTTGCTATTGCACAATACTGTGCCATTGAAGATTTCTTGCTATTGCGCAATACTGTGTAATTGAAGATTTCTTGCTATTGCGCAATACTGTGCTATTGTGCAATACTGTGCTATTGCGCAATACTGTGTTGTTGCGCAATACTGTGTTGTTGCGCAATACTGTGCAATTAAAGATTTCTTGCTTTTGCGCAATACTATGCAATTGAAGATTTCTTGCTATTGCCCAATACTGTGAAATTGCTCAATACTGTGCAATTGGAGATTTCTTGTTATTGCGCAATACTGTGCAATTGAAGATTACAAAAACTTTGAAGAAAAAAAATATGAACCCCAAAAAATTGGGGAAAAAAATCCCCCCCCCCCCCCCCCCAGTACAATTTTAGAGAGATCCATACACTTACACACAAGTTATTGTCTGGAAACTAGAAAAAATGCAATGAAGTTTATTAAACTAAAGTTATTGGCAAATTTCCAATGAAATTTATTAAAAATAAAGTTTTTGGCAAATTTCCAATGAAGTTCATTAAACTAAAGTTATTGGCATATTTCCAATGGAATTTATTAATAATAAAGTTTTTGGCAAATTTCCAATATACATAATTTAAAAGCAGTTTAGGTGAGATAAACAAAAAAGCTCCATCAGCAACATTTTATATTGGCAAATTTCCAATGAAGTTCATTAAACTAAAGTACTTGGCAAATTTCCAATGGAATTTATTAATAATAAAGTTTTTGGCAAATTTCCAATATACATAATTTAAAAGCAGTTTAGGTGAGATATTCAAATGAGTTTCAATTACCAACCTTACACTGCCTTTTAAATTATGTTTTGTACTTAAGTATTCAAACAAAGTTAAATTTTGGACCCTTTGGACCTCAATGTGGACCAATTTAAAAACGGGGCCCAAAATCCAAAAACTTAATACACGGTAAGATTCAGCATATTAAAGAACCCCAAGAATTCAAGAATAAAACCCCATTGAAATTGATCAAGAAATAAGCAATTTATACGAAGTATCTTCTTTTGCACAATACTGTGCAATTGAATATTTCTTGCTATTGCGCAATACTGTACAATTGACAATTTCTTGCTATTGCGCAATATTGTACTATTGGATATTTCTTGCTATTGCGCAATACTGTGCAATTGAAGATTTCTTGCTATTGCGCAATACTGTGCAATTGAAGATTTCTTGCTATTGTGCAATACTGTGCAATTGAAAATTTCTTGCTATTGCACAATACTTATTATATAATAATTTACACATCCTGTTTGGTGTGTATCTCCTACCATATCATTATTATTTGCTTTTAAATATAAATCAGAAATAACCAACTTAAAATGGAAAATTTTAAAAGAAAAAAAAAAAATCCCCCCCCCCAAATTTTTTGAACCCCCTTATGATTCATCACCCCCAAACTCAATCCCAGCCTTCCCTTTGTGGTATGGTACCTTGCAGTACAATTTCAGAGAGATCCATACACTTGAACACAAGTTATTGTCTGGAAACTAGAAAAATGCTTATTTTTGGCCCCTTTTTGGCCCCCAATTCCTTAACATTTAGGGCAATTACCCCCAAACTCAATTCCAGCTTTCCCTTTGTGATATGGAACCTTGTAGTACAATTTCATAAAGATCCATACACTTACACACAAGTTATTGTCATGAAACTAGAAAAATGCTTGTTTTTGCCCCTTTTTTGGTCCCTAATTCCTAAAATTTTGAGGCAATTACCCCCATAATCAATTACAGCCTTCCCTTTGTGATATGGAACCTTGTGGTACAATGTCAGAGAGATCCATACACTTACACACAAGTTATTGTCTGAAAGTTACAAAAATGCTTATTTTTGGCCCCTTTTTGGCCCCTAATTCCTTAACTGTTGGTACCATAACCCCCAAAATCAATCCCAACCTTCCTTTCGTGGTATTGAACCTTAGGGTAAAATTTCATGGAGATCCATTCACTTAAACTAAAGTTAGAGTGCGAAAACCAATGTGTCTTCGGACGACGCCGGACGACGACGACGCCAACGTCATACCAATATACGACCAAAAAATTTTCAATTTTTGCGGTCGTATAAAAATGGCCACCATGATAAAAGCCATAAAAGTTGCAGAAATTGGCTTTTAACACCAATAAACAAACACTATATTTTTGATTAATTTTGTTATTTCATTGTAGGTAAAGTGATACTGCATATAGGGAAATTAGCAGCCATCAGGTCAGCTATAGCCTTTCTTTATGTGGGAACTGTAGAAATTTCATATGAAAATGTGAGGGACTTACTGGAAGTTGCAGAATACTTCCAGATAAGTGACTTGAAACAAGCATGTCGTGATTACCTCTTCTCTGTGGAGGTCACTGTTGACAACTGTGTTCAAATTTGTCTGCTGTGTAGTCAGTATGACCTTGATATTTATAACAAAACTTATGACTTTCTCAGGGGACATTTACCTGATGTCATGAAGAAAGATGACATTCTAACACTTACCCATGATTCTATTCTGGCATTTATTATGGATCAGACCTTATCATACATTCCGCAGGAAGAATTCTTTAATTTCATCCTAAGATGGGTAAAACATGATGAGGCAAATAGACTTCACTATTTCAGTGAAGTGTTTTGTGCATTAGATCTGCTACAAATGTCTAAACAAGTTATAGAAACAATTCTGGAGAAAAACAATTTGGTTAGCAGACATGAAGACTGTAAAGCTCACATTCTCCGAGCTAAATTGTCAAAAGGCTTGACATTCCAGGAAACTGGACAGCGGGATGTTATACTTGTAGCAGGTGGTTGTAGTCACAGTGTGTATGTAAATAACTTCTTCCATCATTTTTCATCCATCATCAATTCCATAGCTGTTAGTAATATTTATGGGTATGTGATTCAGGACCAAAGATGGACGGAAATAGCTCCGCTACCTCATCAGATGAGAAGGCCATTGTTGACTTACGATAATTCAGGACATTTATACGTGTTTGATACAGAGCATACACACGACAGCACAATGTTTTACATTTACAAGTTCAGAATCAGTGACAAGAGTTGGACAAGTTTCAAAATTAATGTACCAGAGGCTTATTTGAATGCTTCACTTCAGAAAATTATAGCATGTAACAGCAGATTGTATGCTGTTATTTCGAGCCAGCAGTCTGTACTTTTAGAAGCGAAAGAAGATGGAAATGAAAGTGAAATAAAATGTCAGTTGTTCCACAGCAATCCTTCAACTCAGGTTAATGTTCATGTGATAAATAACACTCACATATGTGTATTGGCATGGAAGCATGGCATTAAAGTCAAGAAAAGTCGTCATTATGCCAAATTTATTGTTTATGATGTGCGAAGTCAGAGAAGGTGTGATCATTCTAAGGGTTCGATATTTGAAACCCATATGTTTTCCATAGGAAATGACATCACTGTTTGTAGAATGGGAAAGTTCCATGCTAGGCGGTTTAATTTAAACGACAGGAGATGGAAACCTATCGCTGATCAAGTCCTGCCATTCCCACCGGAAGACCCAGCAAGGACAGATTTTGCAAGCATTTCTGATGGAAACAATTTTTTCCTATTTGGTGGAAAAGACCATTCCACGAAAAAACCTTTGGAAACTGCATACAAATATACATATAGAACAAAATCATGGACAAAGCTAGAAGATATGCCGCAAGCCTTAATGCAAAGTGCTATTTGTATTGCCAGGTTTCCTGTTACAGACGTTAGGTGCCATATTAAGTGTCCACATTGTTTGTATCATTCCAGACGTAGTCAGGCTTTGTACAATGTTGAGTATCCTCCCGATGAGGATGAGTGTACCGATTACTCAAATGATGATGATTACCTTTCGGATCATTGGGTTGATTACTATGATGATTATGAAGCATTCGACGATCCTTTTGAACACTACTGGTATTGATTGTTGTCACTTTTTGTTGAACATTAAAAAATAATTAAAATCTAAACCTACTGCCCAAAGTGTAAATTATGTTTGTTTTTCAATAAATGGCTCATCCTTTTATTGTAATGTTAAGTCGTCATCTGCAAAAATAGATTCTTTATTTTCCATTTAAAACTTTGTAAATTGTGATATTCGAATATCTATTTTAGGATGAGATTTAAGTCTTTAAGAAATTTGCTATTACTTGTTTTTACTTGTTTCAGAACTGTTAGATGAAAAACTTCAAAGCAATTAACATTATACCTTAGGTGTACAGTTTTTTTTATGTTAAAAAAAAAGGTTTAGACACAACTTGGACATTGAATCAAACATCTCAGAAAAAGTAACAACCACCTTTTTAAAAAATCTGAAAATTGTGAATTCGTATTACTTCATAGAATATAAGCTTGCTTCCAAATGTATAATGGATATAATCCAATTTACAGACTTCAATATTGCAATATACAAGGTAATATTTTCTCTTACATGTGGGTTTATCCTTTTGTTATTGCTGTACTAATTTTTATCTGGTGCTATTTGAAATGAAAGATTAAGAATTGAAGTTTTTAGAAATGTACAGCTCATACCAGAATCAGTATTTTAGTTGAAAATTAGTAATTATACTTAATTATCATGATTATAGTTCCATTTTGTATCAATGTATTGATGAAGGACATCTTTGATATTCTTATTTTTGGTGCAGTAGTACAAATTGTCAGACCAGATATTGCATTTATGTACATTCAAATTGTAGTTATGTTTTTTAAGAAGTTTTAAGAAACATTACGATTACAAAATAGGTGTTTTTTTATTTGATTTGGAGTAGCAATTTTCAATGTTAAGTTTTCTGCCTAAGTCAGTTTGATAGAAACTACTTGTGATAGATCAATGATATTTTTTATAAAGTTGCATTACATCTCAGTTTGTCATGGTCCAGCAACTTTGAATTAATTTTCAATGATGCTGTCCATCAGATTGTCTTTTTCTGAATATGCTGCGGTCAGGCGAGACATATGACCTCTATATGAACAGTTTATTCAAAGTTTGTGCTGGTGGTTGTGGGCAATTTTTTTCTGAAATACCTGAGTTCTCTGTACTTTCAATAGATATTATATGATAGGTGACCGTCATAAATCACAAATAAACACCCAGTTTCAAAGTGATTGACTAAACACCCATGACAGTGGTCAAGAGTAACTAATTAAACTTGTTTGTACTGTAGTTGAAATGCAAGTTTTCTCAGTAATTGGAAGAAAACTGCATTTATCTGTTTCATACATCACAAATATTGTTGAAGAAAGATGATCAAGGGATAGAAAAAAAGACCATGCTAGATAGAGAAAAAGACATACCTTCTGAATAATGAAATATTACAAAATACAACACTAAAAGAAGAAACAACAAGAAACCCCCCTTAAAATTTTTGGGGATCTAAGGTGTACTGGAAGTGTAATGAAGCCCCAGCTGCACTAGTTGCATCTTTTGTGTTGCTCATGACAAGTAAGAAACTAGTGATGAGTCACATTTGGTGATGCTTTAAAGAAGGACAGGACTGTGGCTACAAAAAAACAATCATCAATGACACAAATTTTCCATAACAGTCAACCAAATCATTATGTTGTCTGTATAATATTCTGTAAACTAATTTGTACAAGCCATTCATTTTGGCGAGGAGAAAAATAACCCAAACAAATCTTTGCAAAAATGTAAAACACTGATCTTTCCTGATATCAATTCATTAAGAATATTGGTAAAACACAAAAATAAATCTCTGCCAATTTGCCGTTTCAGAATCTATAGAACTCTGAGTAATTTCATTGTTCGTACCCCAAAATGAAAACGCCACGTCATTGAGTGAATTTCAATTGTTTGGGACATTGTTAGCAATCACGACATTTTGGTGTACGCTTTTGAAAATATTACCCAGAATGCATTTGATTCTGAAACGGGGAATTCAGTGAGAAAAAGCTGAATACAAAATTCAGTATCCTAAAAAAATATGTTGGTTTACAGTATACTCATAATTTGACACATTTGACAACATTTTTTTTAAATAGCCTTCATTAGATACACAGGTGAAATTAAAACAATCTGGAATTTTAAATTGAGACTATAAATAAGAAGAGCATTAGTTGAGGAACAAAATAAGCTAAAAATATTCATAGGTTATTGAACTCCTTTTCGAGATATTTAATTAAAAAAAAATGGTGGGAAAAGGCTGACTAGAACTTTTACCTTATATTTAGCATTGGCATTATTTGGGTCTCAAATTTTAAGAAAATAAATCTAGAACCTGCTTAAATTTGGGTAAATGACCTATTGCTTATAGTATCTTGAGAAACAGGAACAATTTAGAAAACTTATCGTTGACCAATGAACTATGCAACTATGGTCAAGGTCAGATGAACCATGCCAGATAGACGTGTACACCTACCAATAATTCCATTCCCTAAATGTAGTTAACCTATTGCTTATAGTATCCAAGTAATGAACCTAATCACATAAACTTAATGCTGACAAATGAGCCATTACAATGAGGTCAAGGTCAGATAGACATGTACACCTACCAATCATTCCATTCAACAAATGTAGTTAACATACTGCTTATAGTATCTGAGAAATGAACTTAATCACCAAAACTTGAACTTTGACCAATGAGCCATGAAAATGAGGTCAAGGTCAGATGAGCCATGGCAGACACTGTAGTTGCACAGACAATCTTTTTTGTTTACCAGCAAAATCATAGCTATAAATCTGAAACTATATTTGCTTCTAACTGGCCCTTTAGTTTCAGCAGACTTTCATGAAAATATTTATATAACTGGATGAGAGATTGAGTTCGGGACAAAAAAAACTCACATTAACCATTATGAAAGGTGAGATAAAAAAACGCATACATACCACTTTCAGCACTATTTGCTATTTCGTGGCGGTCAGTTTTAATTGAAGGGGGAGCCAGAGAGAACCAGTAACCTTCAGAAGGAAAATTGACAATTTCAGTCAATTAAGATTGGAGTCGAGCACACCTGCCACGTGCTGGGTTCTAACTCTCACTCTCAGTGTTGACAGGCTAGGGATACAGTATAAAAATAAGAAGATGTGGTATGATTTCCAATGAGACAACTATCCACCAAAGTTCAAATGAAGTGGATGTAAGCAAGTATAGGCAAAAAAAAAAGGAAAATTAACAATAGGGAAAGAAAAATCATCCCTTTTGTCGTTAATTTTTGTGTAGAGTTTTTGGTGTAATTCTGATCGAAATATCTAAATCTAGGAAAGGACAGTTATTGCTGTTGATATTATAATTATTTAAAGTTCCTTTTGGTAAATTTCAGCAGTATAGTTAAAGAATTCTAGATTATTTAACGAAAACATATCATCAAGATAACGGTAAGTGTTGTTGAATTCATCAATTAAATGGTAGTTGGACTACTTAGACCACTAGACCACTGAGGCCCCTACATTAAGTGTGACTAGGTCAATGAAGTGTACCAATACATGTATAAACAAGAGGCTGTTGAGTGACAGCAAACCGGATTTTCCTGCAGAGGTCGAATCCTGAACAGTTGAGCAAGTATGGACAGAATATAAGCTTAAAACAGCTGTGAATGTGGATTGTGATTTTATATTTAAAATAGATTATTATTTAATTGATAATAGAAATGGTATTTAGGGTTTAAAAAATCAATTGAATGAAATTCACAGTTTGTAAATTATAGAAAGTATCTTTCATTTGTGCATGTTGGGGCCATTAACAATATGCCTTTTGCATTAAGGTAAAAAAATAGTTGATCTTTTTCAACTGCATTTTTAGTCAATTTGTGTTGCATGACGATATATATTTTTTTGGTTGTAATGCAACACTGGCATTTCTAGTAACATTAACTGCTGTTCTTTTTTCCTTAGTTTGTGTAGTATTCAAAAAGAAATATGGAACACCACTGGGACCCTATGTAAAATGCATTACGAATAATTGCGCTCTTTTAACCTTAAAGTGTAATAGCAGTTGATTTGTATTGGAATTGTGGTTATATTTGTTTAAATTTGCATTTAAAGGGAGATAACATTATTAGTTAAGTATGAATTAAGATAGGATTATATTTTTAGTTATAACTGATGTTAATAGAGGAATCACATTCTTTTTAGTTTTGAAAGGGGGGACAAGACAGACAGACAAATAGACGGATGTAGTGCAAACCTAAAGTCACCTAGGGACTAATACAATGTTGATACAAACGATACAAACTAGATATTATTAGAATTGAATTTATCTTTTCAAGGTCTAATACACATCAGTCGTGAAGGTATATATTTAAAAGTGCTTGATGCCCTGTAGTTGTATTTACATCTTCTTAATATTGAGTAAAAGACAATCTGATGGATCTCAATATTTGTATTCAACTTAACGTTTGGGTATTTCACATCCAATCTTTTATGGTAATATTCTTTACAAAGCACAAACATATCAGTATTCACCTCAAAAGCTAACAAAACCTTTAAATAGACTTATTAAGAAGGGATATAGTTACGATACTGTTGTCAGGTCATTAAAGATTGCATATTTTGGCTTTAGTATTAATTCACTTATAGGGTCTTTGCATCGGAATTAAACATATTTATTCTAAAACCAGTTGTTGGCATGACACGGGTTATGTTCTTCTCATATATTTTATGATGGTATAATACTAAACCCCTAACAGGAGGGATTGTGCCTGATATTCATATGATGAAGACATAATCTTTCTATCAGTTTAATTGAGGTCTGGAGCTGGCATGTCAGTAAAAAGTAAAATCAATCTGCTAATAGTAACTGCTTGTAGTCTGTTGTTATTTATGTATTATTGTCATTTTGTTTATTTTGTTTTGTTTCCTATTCTGACATCTGACTCGGACTTCACTTAAACTGAGTTTTACTGTGCGTTTGTTTTTTCTACATTGGATAGAGGTATAGGGGGAGGGTTGAGATCTCAAAAAACATGTTTAACCCCGCCGCATTTTTGCGCCTGTCCCAAATCAGGAGCCTCTTGCCTTTATTAGTCTTGTATCATTTTTAATTTTAGTTTCTTGTGTATAATTTGGAGTTTAGTATGACGTCCATTATCACTGAACTAGTATACATATTTGTTTAGGGGCCAGCTGAAGGACGCCTCCTGGTCCTGGAGTTTCTCGCTGCATTGAAGACCCATTGGTGGCCTTCGGCTGTTGTCTGCTCTATGGTCGGGTTGTTGTCTCTTTGACACATTTCCCATTTCCGTAATCAATTTTATTAATGATTGCTATAAGGTGATTTAGGGACAGGGCTTATATTAGCCTCTGCTTGGGGCTATTTACTATAAAATTAATATTCATTGAAAATTTAAGACTGAAAACTATGTTTGAAATGGTAAGAAAAAGGAAAAAAAATGTCTAACCCCTCCCCCTTTTTTCGTCATCTAGTTTTGACTAGCTTACTTTATGAGTGTTAAGAAACTGTATAACTTATTTTCACATGTAAAAATTTTACATGAATCTTCGTTATTATTTGGCCATCATTTTATTGTAATGCTCATCTATACTAACAAAAAATATGGAGTTGCTGGAAGAATTTGTAATGCATGAGTGATTTGGTCATCTAAATTGTAATGTGTATTACACATCTATTGAATGGACCATTCCATTTAATATCGGAATCTTGGAGAAGGTAACACATCCCTATGTTCAGAAGTTAAATGGAATGTCTGACATTGTTTTATTAACTATTATCCTACCAGACCGGCGTACAACTTTCATGGGTCACGACTAAATTTTTAAAAAAAACAT